AGCGGCGGAACAAAAGCGGCCGGGGCAGGGACGCGGCAATGCGCAATCCTCTCGACAACGTTTAATGGCCGCGCAGGTGTGATTCAAGCCGCGAGAGCCCGTAAGAATTCCTCGGCCGGCTGAGAACCCGTCGCGAGTAATCCTGAGGATCCTGTGTAAATTGTCCGTATCGGAGTCTCGTTTATGTCGCGATCATTTCGAAGAAATTACGACGCCTTCGGTTAATCTCGATTTATAAGCTTTGTTTGTTGATTGTTTGTCTGTTACGTTGGTGGAAACGTTTGTGAAAAGAAAATAGTTCATTGTTCACCACTAAGTGATCACTAAGTGATCAGTTAATGGCCACTAGTAACTACTATTGATCACTATTGACCATTATTGACAAGTATTGACGAGTACTGATCACTATTGACTAGTATTAATCACCACTGATCACTACTGATTCCTAAGTAACCACTAAGTGATCACTAAGTGATCGGTTAGAGGCCACTAGTGACTACTATTGATCACTATTGACCATTATTGATAAGTATTGACGAGTATTGATCACTATTGACTAGTATTAATCACCACTGGTCACTACTGATTCCTAAGTAACCACTAAGTGATCAGTTGGAGGCCACTATTGACCACTACCAACCACTTAGGATCACTATTGACCATCACTGATCACTGACCACTACTAACCACTAAGTAACCACTAATGACCAGTAATAACTGACTATTACATACTGCAGATCGTTCACAAAGAGAACCACAGAACAGCACAGAGGCAAAAGGAATCCCTCATTAAAGATTTTGTTTATGATTTTGATTGGTTATGTGTAACCATATTTACGAATAGCCAATCAATACCGAAAATGAGATAAAAATATATAAAAGTGACGACTACTGTCTACTACTGACGACAAACAATGAACTTAACTCAATGTACTAAACTCTTTAATTAGTGAAACAGCAAGAGATCAGCACGTAGTTTCCTGTTTTCCTTAATTAAACGATCGATATATAATTTCACTTCATCCGCCGAAGGTTTTGTACATTTCAAAGAATCTTCGTCCGCAAAGGGTTAAACCTGTCCGAAAACACACGTGAACTATCTACGAACAATTTTCTATCCTGAAGAAGAGATTTGTCCAGCCATTATTTCTGTCGAGCATCGGGACGCACCGCGTTCGATACGCGACATTTCACGCTCCTCAAACGTTTTCGAAATTCATAGCCAGACAGACAAGCCATCGCGCGACCCGAATCCTGGCCGAGCCGTGCACATCGGTTGGTAGTACAGTACCGTTCATAATTGAGCCGTTGAAAACGGAGCGGCTTAGCGAGGGAAGTCAGCCAGATGACGCACGCCGATTTTCATCCGCTTTTACTATGATTCCGGGCTCGGGAAAATATTCGTTGCGTGTCGAGTTTGTGATCCGCCATCGTACGTTCCGAAGGGACGAGGACAGTCCGTGTAGATAACAGTGGAAAATATGTTTAATCGATTCTCTAGGAAATTATTTGTCGTGACAAAGAATCCGGAGAATTATATATTAAAATTCATGTACTTTTAAATATATTGAATAATCACATTCAATCTATTAACGTGAAATTCAGAATTGTTCTGTAAAATGTGTGGGGAGATACTCACTGTACAGACAATGAACAAAACGACCGACGGAATTGTTGAAATAACGAGAAAACTATTTTTGATCATCGATCTCGCGTTAATTATTATATTACAGAAGAATTTTTTAAAATTGTTTTGTTTCCAATTTGTCCGTCGGTATTGGTATAATAAAGGGATTTTTCAATTAATTGAAATTCGTTGCTTTGTATTCTAGAATTGAACAAATGAAAATTTTTTAAAATTTCCAAAAATTCTTTCACCAGATATATTCATTTTCTAATGAAATATCAATTTTATACTTAATATCAATAACATAGAAACGAAGGGATAGAACTATTCTATTAAAGTTTCATGGATAATTACGCGAAACGAACTTTAATATTGAACATCGAACTTTCTAATTCTACTGTACCAAACCAAATGGCGTATGCGAGTTGCCTATCGACTGCAAAATGTGAACATGCACGCGAACCGAAGGATAGCACGCGTATTCCTCGGTTTTCGCCGGTGACTGTACACCTTATTGAAACGTTGCTCGTAATCTGAACGCGGAATCGTCGTAACCGCACTCGATTCCCTTTTGTACAGGCTGCGCTCGGCTAAACGAGGCTCTTTAATAATACATAAGACCGATCCCTGGTCGGATCAAAGGGCCACATCGCCGATCGGATATCAATTAAGACCGGGCATGGAAATGTCAGTAGGTCACTTCATTCAATCGCGCCGCTATATAGCGGGCTGCGGTCAGTCGCGTCTGACTAGGTCAAGCTTTTTCTACTCGCCACGGGTAATATCGCGTCTGGCCTGCATTAAACGGTCCGACACCCTGCTGCATTACCGTTCGAAATTCCACGACTGATCCTCCAATAAAGAACAAACTTGAATTCCAATGGAACGAATAAGAATAACAATAAGAACATCCCGACATCGGTATTATTACGAGACAAGACGCAACGTCGCAAACATGGAATACGTCCCTCCTGTCTGTAATTTATAAATTGTAAATATTCCCAGACGGAATCGCATGCGAACCGGAAGATTTATCCGCGGAACCGGGAACAAAACAGACGTTCTCTATGATAATGGTTCTATTAGCTAACAAGGAAATCAAGTCTGCTTCCCTGAAGACTTCGTTCCACGACGTCGCGAATTACGTACAATCCGCTCTTCAATTATGACAAACATTCGCGTCTAACTGCTGGAGCGCGCCGAGTCTCATTAGCAAACTCATAGCACGAGAAGTCTCGTTAGACTTCCAACGAATGAAAACTCTAATCCGAAACCGCCGATCGATCCTGTCGTTCGATCTTTATCCTCCCGAGTCCCGCGGCTGTTCGATCGGTTATCACAATCCGTCGATATGACGAGGCCCTCGAAATACGAGGCACTGTTAAAGAGGCCCGCCGTTTACCCAGAACGATCCTCGTTAATGATAAATCAGTCGGGCGACCGGGCTGATCAAAGGGAGGATGCTCGCGTGACCCGGATGCAATTAAGCTCCCGATGGCGGACTTACTCGACGGTACTTCGAGTTCGCTCGGAATTCCTACCGTTCCATCTGAGCGCGGTCACGTGCCCGGACGAACGCGAGATCCAGTTTTACGTTGCGGGCATCGATCCGAAATCCTTGCGAGTTTGATGCCCGCCCGGAACCTTTCATAAATTCGGTGGAACGTTCGCCGAGATCAAAGGATACCCTCCGAGGCGAATGATCCTTCGGAGGCGCCGAACGTCCTGGCGGGAGAACGGAGGAGGGAATTAATATGCTGATTCCTTGGGCGCGGAACAAAGACCTCGCGCCGGCTCTAGACCGAGGCGCGCGTCGCGGCACGTGATCCTCGCCTTACGATATTATTATTACGGGCGGAAAATGTGCGCGCCGTCTGCACGCGCCTCCCTATCGCCCTGCCCTTTGACGGAGTAGAATGGAGTAGCGTTACGGTGAGTGGCAGTGCCGATGCGAGATTATGTGCGTTGATTAACCCGTCTTTGCTGCGTTACAGCCGCTGTAACAGTGCCAGCCGGCAAAGGTAAATTCCAGCGAGATTCGGGAATTCCGGCGTAAGTTTGTTAAAGACGATATTAAACGGAATTTCCTCCCCATTCCGTTTCCTTCGTCGTGTTTCAGTAGGATTATGTAATATCCGCGTTGGCGAGTGTAGCTGAGGTTTGGAGGGGAAAGAAGGTATCGGTATGTATTTTTGTTGGGAATGAGCATGAAACGTATTTTCAATGGCTACAAAGTATCCGTTCGTGTTTTTCCCGTTAATTGTTTTTCCAGAGGACGGCCATTTTTATTGCACGCGCTGAGCCTTTTTTCGCGTCGTTCGGCAGTTCGTAGCAAACGCTCAACTTGAACTGCGTTCCGTTTTTCAGTTTTTAAAGCATCGTAATATATACTTTAATGAATACACTTAGTTTTTCAAACTGTGATGTTTATTTTGACAAATAAATATTCAGCAATTTTACTGGTTCAATTTAGGCGTGATGGCGTGGGGTATCAAGGTTTAAACTGCCTTTTCAAAGGAAAACTATTGTAATTAGTGTATAATAAATATAGCGTGCTGCAGATAATTATTCACGAGGTCTCCAAACTATTCACAATTACAACCAAAAACTACGATCAAAACTATTACTATGATTAACCGTTTGAGTGCTGAGTGCTATAGCGCTCTTGTGTTGTGCCCAAATTGCGAAGAGCGCGGAGGCGCTTGTTTTTCTACGTTTTTAGCCTCTGTTCTTCAAGAAATAAATCAAAGTTATTCGAATAAATGTTATTTTTCGATATTTTTGTAATAACACAATATTTGTGATCTCATTAGATAACTACTCTTAATTTTTTCGCATACACGCCCAATTCCGAATTTTCGGTAAATATGCACAAAAGTTTAGCATCCAAACGGTTAACAACACTCGATTCAACTACGTACCTTCACTTTACGACTTCCAAGAGGCGAACTAACCTCCTCAACCCCTGTTACACCCTAAAAGTTCCCAACTATCAACCCTCCTCCACCACGTCGTTTACATGAATCAACCTCGAGAGCTACGTTACAACCCGCCGCGACAAATCTCTGAACGGATCCCAATAGATGCATCTCTAAAACGTTCATGCTACTTTCCCACTGCTGAAGAACTTGAGCGTAGCCTCTTAGTCGTTCCCGCTCCCTGAACGTTCGCATTCTGTCCCGGGCGAAGCAGATTCCCCCGAAACAATCGACTGGCTAACTTTCCACGGTAACAACGTTAAGCTTCAAGGACAGTTTCGGCGGCGGATGGCACGGGGTCGGGGGTCGGGCGGGGGGAAGGGAGTGGGATTAAAAGTGACGTTTATGGGCGAACGTGCTCCGAATAACCCCGGCGAATCGATAAACCGTTTCAGGACACCGTCGACTTGGGGAAGGACGCGGAATTCCAGTGCTCCGTCACCGGGCAGCCCACGCCGACGATCTCGTGGACGAAGGACGGGCTTCCGGTGCGGGAGAGCGCCTCCGGCAGGAACAAGATCACCGGCACCGACGGCTCGACGCTCCACATATCCTCGATCGTCAGGGACGACAAGGGGATGTATCAGTGTTTCGCGCATAACGACTACGAGATGGTCCAGGCGACCGCGGAGCTGCGCCTCGGGGGTGAGTCGGCCTTTTTAATACGTAATCTTTCATCTGCGCGCAACGCGCGAGCGGGGAAAAACCGCTGCGACGAACTCCTCTCGAACGAACGAACGAACGAACGCCGCCGCGTGGAATTAGCTGGTTCGGAAGTTAAGAATTCAGGGCCAATAAAAATGTACAGGGGAAAGGTCGGGCGCAGCTGGAAGATGAACGGTGTCGCCTGACACCGGCGGGCGTACGGTTACGGTAGCGAATGCAATTCCGGCGAGTGCGAGGCGGTATTTTATGCGACGAGACGCGGACGAAGGGAACTTTTGCTTCTGACGGAAGGATTCTGGTCGGATGGTTTGGG